GGCCCCTTGATTGAATAGTACTAAGGAAGTGCATGAATGCTTAGATGATCAGTATAGGATACTGATATATGTCTTATCATCGAGAATCGAGAAACTAAGGATCAAACATAATAAGGATTACACATTCGTGCCTCATGTTCGATCTGTATACTGAACAAAGGGACATAAATGTATACACTGATAATGATCACACAGTTTATTGATTAGCTTAACCACCAAATTTTATCATTTAGCTAAAGATGATATGTTGGTTCATAATTATAAATAGAATTATTGCCAACGTGATAAAGTGCCAATGGGTCATATGCATAAAATGCATATTTGAACAAGGAGAATAAATAATCAAAAGATTAATTATTTTGTCTTATTCGAATCTTGTTCCATACGATTTTATGAAATCAGATTCTTTTGGGGACATGTTTGACAAGTAGAGACTTATCAACGTGATGGTTATGTAAAGAAAAAAGAATATCTTTAGAAGATGTGACATCTTCTAAAAGGATTGGGCTACTCTTTATGTCGAATACCTATGACATATATACTATTCATTACACATATATAAATAAAGAAAGGCCTTTGCAAAAGTGTATGGTTCATCAGATGAGAAATTAAAGGATCATTAGAATTGTTCATAGCAACCTCTCTATATATATATCCTCACAAGTTACCCTTCCTTTCTTCCATGGAATTGGAAACCATATCTAGCATTTGGGAAAGAAGAATATCTCCTCTCTTGGCGTAGGATGACAAGAGAATTCAGTGCATTTGTGTGGATAGCGTGGAGGCAAAACGCTGAGTTTTTGGCTAGACCCAGATACAACATCAAATGGTTAATGCTCGTACTTGTAAAACTATGAAACACCCATCCTACCCTATTTTGTATGGATTCTTGGAAGAATAAAGTTAATTTCCCATGATTGTATGGCTCCCGTATCCCAACCCTATGAATATCGCTTGCAATTTTCCCCCAGCCACAGTATTTGAGGATAAAAAGTTGGATCCCCCCAACGCTAGCTGAAAGTACTTTTAAAACATGTTCAGGAGATGCCACGACCTGCCATGTGACTTAAGTCGCATGGTAAGTCGCTAGAAATTTTGAACCCACGTGGTGAGTTCAAATCTGCGTGTTGAGTTGCCTAGGCCTCAGTTTTGGTCATAACTTCTTCGTTTCAGCTCTGATTTTGCCCCGAACAAAACCGTTGGAATACTTTTTGTGTCCTCTATTCAATGAGACTATAAATCTTGCATTTAAGCCCAAAATCTCATATATCATCTATTTATTTTGAAAGATCGATTTCTGTATAAACTTGTAATATATTGTTAGAATAGCGTTTCGTTTGCTTGGAAAACGAGCTAAACTACACGGAAAGTGGCACAAGAATAACAAAAAAATAGCATTATCAATCATTTATCATAAATAGTTCACAAATGTTCACCTTTAATTTTCATGATGAATGTGGACACTTTGAATGTGGACACTTGGAACACATGTTCCAATCTCTTTGTCCCCCGATTTACATCCTAAAATCTATTTGCAACTAAACTTTATCTCTCTCTATATATATATATATATATGTGTATATATAGAATGAAAATCTTAACAAGTTTATATAAAAAACCCTAACTAAATACCTCATATGATTCCTTCTAGAATTATGATAACCTACTGAAACCTATATATATATAAGGATCAAACAAGAAAGCAGTCAATTAATGAGAAATGCGAGAAGGGCCACATCATAATGATTATGTAGTAAGGGGTTGTTTGTTTACCTCTTAATAGTTCCATTAAGAGGCAGTCTCTGACCCGTTAAGATGTGAATCTTGTTTGACAAGAAGAAAATCTGTCTCTTAATGGTTCTAAAACCCTCTGAATGATTTTGTATCTTGGGCTTCCCTTACCATTCAGCGCCTTAATTTCATTGTAAATAATTACCAAACAATTATATTTCATTTTGTATTATATCATGAGAGTCTCTTAATCATTCTGAACACTTAATCATTCTGGACCAAACCATTCAGCAACTACCAAACACCCCCTAAGTCACATGTGATTTGTCTAGAAGGACGAGGATGACCACTCAACATGACCAAGATCGCGTGAAAACTACCTGTGCATTGTTGGTCAATGCAACCTTTCTGATATGTTGTAAATCACATGTGTGTGTCTTGTGTGTGTGTGTGTATACGAGGGATCGTGTAAGAATAATAGTTATGAGAATGATAAGAAGAGATTTGAACCCTTGATTAGTTTTTATTAAGGTTGATCTAATGGTTTAGGTTCAAACCCGGTTTTTTTATCATTGTGCATCTTTCAATAGAGTTAATTTCATTCAATCATATTCTCACACGAAGCCATCATCCAATTCTCTCTATGATCATCGATGCCACGGAAGGTCTATTTTGCCACGAAGTTGTGATTCTTCAGCCATGAAAGATTTTGAAATGGCTTTGTTATACGTCTTGTTGATTTAGTTATGCTACATAGCTTGATTCTTGTTCTCTTTAAGTAATTTTCTTTCAGATTTGTTTTATAATCTATTGATTCTATATAAAATCACTAAGGGGCAGTTTGTTTTTAATAAAAAAGCTCTTAATGTCCTCTTAAGTCTGAATCGGTCAGACATAAAAGGATTCATTGTGTTTGTTTTTTTTTCAATTAAGAGCTTAAAAGCTCTTATTAGGTCTGAAATTTTAAGTGGTTGCGAAACCTCTTATTTCAAATCGTCGCCTACCTACTCTGATCTCGTTGCGCTCGATTTTTCTAGATCAACTCTTCTGTCTCGATCTCTCATCTCTCAACTTTGTCAACTGTCGATCCATATCAACTCTCGATATCTCATCTTCAAACTTCATATTTCAGACGCAAAAAACAAACAGTCTGACTGATTCAGACTTCAGCACAACCTCTTAAAAATCAGAAGTGAATTCAGACTTCAGACTTCAGCACCTCTTAAAAAACAAACGCCACCTAAATCTCTGATTGAAATTGGTTTGATTTGTATTTTTTTATCACCTCTATCGTATATTACACAAGTTTCGTCTTTCTTTTTTTTTTCTTGCAAATTTGCAAGAGTAGTCTATTGTTTTTGTATTAAATCATTGAATGTATTTGTTTGATTGTCAACTTCTTATTTTAGACAACTTTTAATTGATTAAATCTATTATCCTCTAAGTTTGAATATGGATGTGAATATTGAGGATGAAGAAATTAACAGACAATTGAAATATGTTGTTGATATTGAATACTTGAATGAAGTTCGTTTTTAGAATCAAATCATTGATTTGTAATTCACTAAAGTTGCTTTTTGTATGGGTATTTGGTTGATTTCATTGTCATAGTAGCTTTTTGTATGGGTATTTGGTTGATTTCATTGTCATAGTAGCTTTTTGTATGGGTATTTGGTTGATTTCATTGTCATAGTATTAAATCTTCAACCATATTCGAAGAAAATCTTTGGTTATAAACCAGTTCCATGTAAATTCAATTATCTTCATTGATAGATAACTTGATTGATATTCATTCATTACCATCTTTCAACTAGCTTCGATTGCCCTTATTTCAACGAGCATAATTGTATTCAACTACTATCAGTGTCATCAAATCCTTAATTTACTTGTCATTTATTTTATATCTTGTATTCAATGTTTCAAGTTCACAGCTTCTATTGATGCATTGTTTTCTTATATATTTGTAATTTTGTTTAATGCTTAGGTAACATATTAACGGAAAAGTTCTAGAATGATGGTGATAGTGTGGGTTAGTGTACCATGAGTAGGAAAGAGAAAATTGAGTCGTTATTTGGTACAATACAACCTATTGAAGTGGTGGTTCAAATTTCTAAAAAAAATGATCGGAATAAAGGTTGTGAAATAGGTAAAAGACATGTTAGTGCTCGTCTCAAAGAAATCGATAAAGGTTCCAATGACATAGGGGCGGACCGCCATATGGGCCTATAGGGGTCCTGGCCCCTGTGAATTTTTTTGGAAGTAGGCTTAGTAGTTTTCCATGCTCTTGTAAAATACCAAAAAATTTCAACCAGCCCCCTCCCTCCATTCCCCCTCCAATCTCCATAGCGACGAGGCCGAGCGAGAACGACTGGCCGACTGTGCGTCTGTGCGTGCGAGAGCGACGGAAGCGAAGTAGCGAACTACGACAAAGCAGAGGGAACCGGCAGGAGGAGGTGGCACTCGGCGTCGGCTGTCTGCGGTCAGCGGTCTACCTGTCTCGGCAGTCAACGGCCACTGTGAGTCGGTGACGGTCCTGACGGAGCGGTAACTCCAACTCGGTAAGTTCTGCACTTCTGCTGCAACTGTTTACAGTTTACTGCTCTCACTGCTGCATCTTTTCCTTTTCTTTTGAAATCAAAACCCAACAGCCTGTTTGTTGAATATTAGGTCTAAATGACTAAATTTATGACTTAATGTGGTGATTTACTGATTTAGGTGATTATTAATATTATATATTAGGTCTAAATTTATGACTTAATGTGGTGATTTACTNGATTTACTGATTTAGGTGATTATTAATATTATATATTAGGTCTAAATTTATGACTTAATGTGGTGATTTACTGATTTAGGTGATTATTAATATTAGGTCTAAATTTATGACTTAATGTGGTGATTTATTTACTGATTTGTTGAATTGTTGCTTTGCTGACTTGCTGTCTTGCAAATTGCAATGGCAACTTGGCTGTGTTTCTTTCATTCTTTGGCAGTTTGGCTCATTGCCTCATTGGCTGAATTTGGTTATCTACTGGTTTGTAAGTTTGTTGCTGCACCCTGTCTCACTGCCACTGGTTTGGATTATTGGATACAATTAGGTGGTTTATTAGGTTTAAATTTATGTGGAAATTAAGGTCTAAACTCTAAATTTTGGTGATTTAGGTGTATGCCAATATGAATTGAAATCATACCATCTAACACTAAAACTAAACTCTAATATGTTTCACTTCCACATCACATGTAGATGAAGATGAAAACTCAATCTACCATTCATGGGTTTTTTTAAAAGAAAGCATGATAGTTCTTCTTCTCAAGATCCCGAAGAAACAACAAATGTAGATAATACCCCTGCATCTAGTATTCCGCCTATTGAAAACCCTTGTAAGAAAGCTCAAATTGAAAGTAATGATATTGATCTGGGTACACTAGAACGAGACCCTGCTTTGCGTCATCAAATTTATGATTATCCTATCAATCAACAAGATACAATTCGACGAGCTTACATGAATCTTGGTCTTCTTCAACCTACACTTTCTATGTTTCCAAAATCTGGACCAGAAAGTTATAAACGTAGCTTTCAAGCGTCTTGGTATAAGTTACATCCCTGGATTGAATATTCAAAGACCTTGGATGCAGCATTTTGTTTCCCTTGTTTTTTATTTAACAAGCCATCCGGGCTCGGATACTACGGTCAACGAGCATTTACCATAGATGGGTTTCGAAATTGGAAAAAGGTGGGTGGGATAAAATGTGGCTTTTTGATGCATATGGGAACCGATTGTACATCTTTCCACAATGTTGCACAAAAGGGATGGGATCATTTATGTAATGAGGCGCAAGATATACGAAATGCATATGAGAAGTTCACAACTGAAGAGCGTGAGAAAAATAGATTGAGATTGACGGCTTCTATTTATTGCGTCCGTTGGTGTGCCTTTCAAGAAGTTGCATTTAGAGGCCACAACGAAAAGTCCGATTCCATTAACAGAGGGAATTTTCTTGAAATGTTGGAGGCACTTGGTGAGTTTAGCACCGAGCTTAAAGAGTTATTTTGTCATGCTCCCAGATATGCATCATATACATCACCGTCGATTCAAAAGGAAATTTTGAATCTTATATCAAATAAGGTGAGGCAAATGATTTGTGAGGAAATTGGTGGTCGTCCCTTTTGTTTACTTGTTGATGAAGCACGGGATGAGTCTCATAAAGAGCAAATGTCTCTTGTTTTGAGATTTGTTAATAAAGAGGGTTTCATTATAGAACCTTTTTTTGGACTTGTTCATGTACGTGACACTACGGCACAAACGCTCAAGGATGGAATCTATTCTTTGTTGTCACATTACAATCTTGATGTCAAGTCTATTCGTGGACAAGGGTATGATGGTGCAAGCAATATGCGRGGTCARTTCAAAGGTTTGCAAGCCTTGATTTTAGAAGATTGTAAATACGCATATTATGTTCAYTRTCTTGCTCATCGGTTGCAATTGGCATTAATGGCCGCCTCTCAAGGAGTTGTAGCACTACGTAAGTTTTTTACAACGTTGTCTTTTGTTGTCAATGTTGTTAGTGCTTCTTTCAAACGCACTGACCAACTACGAGATGCACAAGTCGAGCAAATTGCATACTTGATTTCTGTTGATGAATTAGAGACAGGTAGAGGTCTCAATCAAATTGGTACATTACAACGAGCCGGAGATACTAGATGGAGTTCTCTTCTCAGATCGGTTTCTAGCCTAATCAAGATGTTCAATCCAACTTGTGAGGTTTTGCTTAAAATTTTTGAGGAAGGAACTGGGCCAATCAAAGGAGATGCAGATTCGGCATATGAGGCTATGACGACATTTGAGTTCATATTTATCTTGCATCTCAAAAGAGAAATAATGGAGATCACTGATATWCTTTGTCAAGCTTTACAAAGGAAAGATCAAGATATTTTTAACTCATTGAGGTTAGTTGCATCTACCAAATTGTTATTGCAACTAATGAAAGATGAAAG